CCACTGTTCTGAAATTCATCCGCCTTTCTTTCCCATGTGCCTGTGAAGACGGCAATATTGGTAGGCTGGACAGATGAGCGTAACCTTAGACGTTCACCTTTGTCAATTGTGTTTTCTCCTGTTCTCATTATTGTTCAGCGCAATAGCTAACATCGCATGGTATGGCATGGATGAAAAGTAACAATTCTGAATTCCACTATGCAACCTCCATTTCCGTCGAGTTCATACCGCTTCTTAGTTGCATTTCATGTTACCTATTTCTCTGGACGCATACTACTTCCCAGTGATAACACTATTCGTGGTGTATGCATACGTATGCTCAATTATATACTACGGTGGGTTGCAAAGGCCCGTGAGATGGAGAAATCTAGTGCTATTGGGAACAGCCGATTGCTGTTACAGCCCATCCGGAATACGAGTCCGAGAAAGCCTTCAGTTAGCGAGACAAGAGCTGAGAAAGATGGACTGTTAGTCCATTCTCAATCTCGTCGACTAGCCCGTTGGGCGAAACATTTTGAGGAACAGTTCAGTAGGCCTGTTGCGACAATGCCGCTTGCCGAATCACCTGAGCCGACGTGAGAAGCAGAAATGATACCACCCACTTTGGGGGAGATTCGACACGAGATCGCCGTGTTAAAACGAAACAAGTGGTCGTGACCTGACGACCTTCGCCCTGCTTTGCTGAAAGACGGCAGTGACTCCTAGTTGACTGAACTTACTGCGTTAGTTAACACAATTTGGGACACTGAAGAAGTGTCTTCAGACTGGCGACTATCAACTGCCGTGCCCATCTTCAAAAGAGGTCAGCGTGCTTTGTGCAAAAATCATCGAGGCATTAGCCTTCTTTCCATTGTTTCAACATTTCGCATGTGTATCGCTCGTCCACGACTACTAGTCCCGATGAGGACGGAATCACTGAAAGCCAGGCTGGATTCCTCCCTGGCCGTGGTTGCATCGACCACATATATACTCTTCGCCAAGTTTTAAAGTAGAGAAACATACAAATGACCGACTACGGTGGTTTTCCTTAACTTAAGGGCCGCCTTCGAATCTGTTCACCGCGCCAGATTGTGGCACCATGTATCCATGAACGGCGTACTAGCTAAACTCCGTTCTATTCTGAAGTCCCTTTACCGTGATTCCCGAGGTCGCGTAAAGGGTCTACGGGAAAATCTCTGCTGAGTTCCTCACGACAAGTGGACTTCACCAGGCTTGTCCTAAATCTCCTTTTCTTTTCAACTTCGTGATCGAAATGATCATGAATGACTCGGTTCTTTCAGACTAATCTGGAGTGAAAGTTCTGCCACGTGACCGACTGAGAAACGGAGTATGCGGACTAAATAGTTCTCCTTCGAACTGATGCCTTGGCTATGCAAACACTACTGCATAGAATAGTGCGTAGCGCTGCACATTTCGGCAATTAGTTTGCGCCTTCAAAGTGCAAAGTGCTGTTGCAGGACTGCGCAGACACACCTCCGGTTTTAGCTGTTTCTGAACAACCACTGGAAGTGGTGGGTCGGTTTAACGACCTTGATAGTCGTGTCACCTTTGGGGGTCACATCATTGGGGAAGTTACTTCACGTATCAGCAAGGCTCGTGTGACTTTCCAGAAGCTCAAGGAGAGGGCAGGATATCAGCTTGTCAGTGAAAGGTAGGGTGTGTAACGCTGCGATAAAGTTAGTGTTACTGTATGGATCGGAGAAATGGCCAGTTCACAGTGAAGACACTAAAGGCTTGGCCGTGTTTGACCACCGGTGCTTGCGAAGTGTTGCTCACATTTGGTGGGAACACCGGGTGAGCGGTGCTGTGGTCCGCCTGTTGATTTTTGGCAATAAACCCTCTGCTGCCTCTCTCGAGTGTTTGATAAATCTTAGTCCCCTGCGTTGGCTAGGCCATGTCCACTGTATGCTGTTTGATCGAATTCCTCAGCGTGCAATGTACGCAGTGGCGGCAGCAAGCTGGGCGAAAACTCGATGTGGCCAGTCCATGAAATGGCACAGAAGCCTGAAGAAATTGACTGAGAGACTTAGTCAGGCTGGTGCGTGCCATCTTGGGGCCGGATACGAAGTTGGAAAGAGCAACTCACATATACCCGATCGTAAGTCAAAGGAACGGATACAAAGACCGGTATTTGACAACATTTGTAAAAACTGCATTGCGATCATCTGGAGGTACCAGTACGCTTCACAAGTTGGGGAACAAAATTGCCACTTTAAAATAACACCCGAGAATAATAGGTTGTAATAAGCTCACTGAAACACCAGATCGGGATATGCATTCCGCAAGCACATAAAGGAAGGGGAGAGTTGAGCAGTAAGTCAAGAAAGTGCTTTATGAACTCACGAAAGGTGAATAATTAACTCCAACACGCCATGGACAGGAATAAGTAATAAAATAGGACCAGGAAGTACCAATCCGAAAAGGGGCGCGTAATGGAGTGCGGACACCGGAGGACAGGAAACGTCGGACACAGCGGAATGCATCTGTTATGTACTATAAGTGAATAAAGACGATTAAAACAAGTTTATTCACTACTATGTGAGTCGCGCCCTTTACAGGATGATCACGATGGTGCAGCGTTGCACATTTTGATTATAGTTCCATAGAAAAATTCAAATGATGGTTAATCAGTAATCGTTGAAAGTGCACGGTCGATGGTTTGTAGCGACAGGACAGGGTGTATGCTCCGAAATTCGACAAAAGTAAACAATAATTCTGTTGCAGGACGATACGGCAAATTCCAAATAATTAGTTGCGTCCCATCAGTGGTAAGGAATAGGTTTCAAAAGGATTTCACAGGTGAAAGGAAAGTGTTGCTGACATTGGCGCGGTAACTCGACTTTTGGCGTGTTATACCGGACATTGAGTCTCTACACAGTCTCTGGAACTTGTGGATGCTCGCGGACGTATTCCGGCTGGAGGCGAATACAATGAGGCTCGCACAAAGCTCAGGGCAAAACTACATGCTAGCCTGAAGAAGGACCGCGAAACCTGGTGGGCTCACCGTGCCTCTGAGATGGAAACAGCCGCCGCCGTTGGTAATTATCGCAAATTATTCCGTCTGATACGGGAAACAGGCAGCAGGAGACCTGGTGTTAGCGAGACCATACGCGACGAGAGTGGGCAGCCGATCCACAGCCTGTCAAAACGCTTGGAGTGTTGGGCTGAACATTTTGCAAGGCAATTTAACCAACCTGAGTTTTCGCGTTCTTCTTCGGGCATTGAGCGCCCTTTTCCCTGGGCCATCTTCTTGGATCCGCCCACAGGCGCAGAAGTCGAACGTGAAATCAGGCTGCTGAAATTGCATAAGGCCGCAGGGGCAGATAGAATTCCCCCAGCCCTCTTCAAATTCGGAGGACCTGCTCTAGTAGATGATTTACACGAGTTGCTAGTAAAACTTTGGGAGCAGGAGACAGTCCCGACAGACTGGAACCGCTCCGACATTGTGCCAATTTTCAAGGGAAACTCCCGTTTGGAATGTGGCAATCATAGATGGATCAGTCTGATTTCGATTGCCTCTAAATTGCTTGTCTCTGTCATTCTCCACAGACTGACTGGCACTCATGAAAGCCAGATTCGTGAATAGCAAGCCGGATGTCGTCGAGGTCGGGGCTGCATCGACCACATCTTCACTTTGCGTCAAGTGTTGGAGCACCGCCATGTTCATTGGCGACCCACCGTTGTCGTGTTTCTTGACATAAAAGGTGCCTTCGACTAGGTCGATCGATGTGCCCTTTGGGACTGTCTGCTGAGGAAAGGTGTGCCTGATAAATAGGTAAACATTATCAAAGCGCTGTACGCGCATAGTTCGGATAGGGTGAGGGTTTATGGCAAACTGTCGCCACCCTTCAGTATCACCAGCAGTGTGAGACAAGGATGCCCGCTGTCACCTTTCCTCTTCAACTTCGCTATTGATGAAGTCATGGAAACAGCGTTCGCTGGACACGACGTAGAAAGGGATAGACCTACTTCCTGGTGAGCGACTTCTTGACTTGGAGTATGCGGACGATATTGCCATAATCTGTGACAGCTCCCAAACATGTCAAACAGCACTGGACCGATTAGCACTGGTTGTCAATCGTTTTGGATTATGATTTGCTCTATTGAAATGCAAAGTACTTCTCCAAGATTGGCAGGGACCCAACGCTGCGCAAACGCTTTGTAGTGATCTGCTAGACGTCGTTCAGGAATTCAAGTACCTGGGCAGCTATATTAGCACCCGTGGTATTGAAGATGAGGTTACGAACCGTATAGCAAAAGCTCGAGGTGCTTTTTTCGTTATTGCTTCTGCCAATTCTCCGCACCTGTTTGGCGAGGAAGAGTTACAAAGAAAAGGGACTCGCCGACCATTACCTCTCCGCCCTGAAAGGGCAACAGAAGGAGGTGAGGTTTACAAGCAGAAAAAAGCCGTCTCAGTTTTTTTTTTAACTCTCCTGTAGGTTTGTGGTTGGATGGTGGGTGATGAAACTTGGCCCCCATATCAGGTCGAGACGACAGACATAAAGAAGAGGGCTCGTCCATATATTCGAAATGTCATGCTGCCTATCCGCAAGCTTGTATGCGCGATGTCGCTGGGGGTGTGGCGGAAGATCACCTGCTCTTCCCCCCCCGTAGCAATGAGCGTTTTTTTTTTTTTTTTCCGGCGTCGCCCGGTATTTATTTGGTACAAGAAAAAAAAAGAAAAGAGCGAGGTGGGGGTGTTGAAAAACCCGCTCAGTCCACCATCATAATCACGTGCCCCAGGGCCTTCGATGTGCTGTGGGGTCAGTAGTGTTTGCGCATTCCCAAGCACACCGACTTTCCACGCGGGCGACGCCGAGGGTTTTTGCGCGATCGTTGTTGTTTGGTGGGGGGTTTGCGGATGGGTGTTTTTTTGGGGGAAAAAGAGGGAGGAAAAGAGGTAGAGAGGGGGGGAAGGAAGGGAGGTTTTGTTTGTTGTTCTGTTGACGGTTTTTGGACAAAGCAGATAAAAAGTTTTGGAAGAGGATGGGAAGGAAGAGCTAGAGGATAGATTTGAGGAGAGGAGGGGGAGGCCTAAGCGAGAGGGACTCTTGTTCGAGGGGAGAGAGAATGGGAGTGGGAAAACCCTCACTTCGAAGACAGGGAGGAAGGATTAGTTGGCCCGGTCCGGATGTTAGGTTGCATCCCCCCCCCGGACTTGCCTCTGGAAGCAGGGGGGGGGGTGGGGGTCCTAAGTCCAGGGGACGGTTTGGTTGTTGTTTGTTGTGTTTGTTTGGTTTTGGTTGTTGGTGGCTTTTTGTGCACCACACGTTTGGGTTTTTTGGACGCACATGAAACACTTGCTGTGCTGCCAATATGGCTTGGAGGCCGGCAGCCATTTTG